GTTCTCACTTTTTTTGTTTTCTCACTTTCATAGTATAGTTTATACCAGGAGTGACTAATCATACTAAATTCTTATTATTCGAGCATAGCTTGTTACTTATCGATGTATCTTCTTTGCTAACAATTGAAGTACTTCCATATTGGCAACCTTCTGTTTGAAATTTTGGACCATATTATGCATTTAATAACATTCATAGTCTTGCCCCGCCCGTTCACTTACCTGCGGAGGAAGGGTCTGGAGACACTGCTATTTTAATGTGTGCAAAAAAAATTAGGGGGCGTAGCCAAAAGATAAATGGACTGGGTGTATATTACATGACAGTCACATGACTCAGCAGTGTCACGTTGTACCACATGTTTTGATTGCCAGCTGATGATGCAGTGCTGCCTCAGTGGAACTTCTCCCTGGGAACAGAGCTTTACTGAAGGCAAAAGAAAAATTGGAGTGCATTGTCAATGTTCTCAAGGAGAAGTACATCATAAAAAAACGAAGAAGTCAAAACATGTTTGAAAACTGGTGCTGTATGTAGAAGAAAGTGCCAAACAAATTTGAACGGATCAGTGAAGATTAAAAAAAGAAATTAGGAGCTTGGAACTAGAAGTGCAGGATAATGTTGGAAGATTTGTAACAAGCAGTGGTCTAGTGCTAAACAAGAGTGGCTTTAAGTCGTATAAACAGAATACTCCAAGACGTAAATGTTGATACGTAATGTAGCAAGTGCCACAGTCAGTGCAAGCAGTATTGCCTGTTCTACTTTGAAAAATAAGGAAGTGCAAAAGTATCTTGCTGTTGGAATGGGAAGGTTGATGAAGTATGAGCTAAATAGATTGTGTTCTAGACAAGTAAATTCCATTTTGTGATCAAGAAGCTAGAGTGACATTATTAATTTTCCTTGAGTACAGGTACTAGAAGAAGTTAATGAGCACTGTCCTTTGCTTTTACGGTTTCTAAATGCAATTACTGCTACCAAAAAATAAGGTTGGATAAAAAGCTTTGGTAATTGATTCATCTTAAATTTCATATATCTGTGTTAATTCATGTAGATCCAACCACCTTCATATGGTGACCATTGTTTGCTTGATGTTGAAATACAAAAACAATCATATGTCTCTGTTTCAAAAACTCGTCATCAATTTTGTATGCTGGGCATTCGGGAACCATTGTAAGTATTTTCGTATTCCTTTAATTGTTAGTGAATGTCTGTTATTTCTCAAGGTTTACACCAGGCTTCAGAAACTTTCTATTACAGTTAGTAAAAATGCTATGTACTCCTTACACTATTGTCTGAGTAATGGTCACGACTCGCTTGTCAAAAAGTGGCAATCAAGCCTATCACTGGTTGAGGTATGATAACAAGCTTAAATTTAATGTTGTAATGTAGATCACTGATGACATTGATGAGTCAATTAGTTGTGATTTGTTTCCAGATTTTGTAAATAACGATTTTCAATAAAGTAGCATGGAGTCTCACCCTCATAATGAACTAATAAATGAACACATTTCAAGTTCTAATATTCAAGTATATGTCAAGAACAGCTGAATATTTAATACCAATAATAATTATATGTATGTAGGAAATTATGACTGTACCTCAGGCTTCAGATGATGTTGGCAGTGAAAAACCCAGTACTGAGTCGCATGAAGAAGTCTCAGAGAAAGCGACACTAGAAGCTCAGTCTTTTAGTCACTTATCTGGTAACAAATTTATGATACATGTGCTATACTAATGATTACTTTTAGATCCAGCCGTTATTCAACCTGTTGGCATTGATCGTCATCTCCAACAGTCACGTTGGGATGGAGTTTAAATCTGGGAGACAACCTGGACATAACTGTTTGTCCAAGATCACAGCGTATTGACAGTAAAACTCGGTCATTATACTTTTTTCACAGCTTTGCTGTCCATGATCGAGTCGACCTAACTCAAGCATTAGAAAAAAAGAATCATTTCCTTGAGAAAAAGGAGTCAGATTTACCACTGGAGGATCTGCTTTCTTTATCAGATGATCAAGTTCTTTTATCTTATTTTTCGATTCTTATAAGCCGAGTTCTTAGTGAGGAATTGTCTTACTGTAGTAAAAATTTTGATGGAGTGGTCACAAGTCATATAAGATATCTTTACAGTGAAGAAATGTCCAAAAGGTCAGAAACTGTAAGTACATGTATTTAATTAGAAGGATTTAAAACTTTGTTGCCTTTATGTATTTACTTTAAGTTCCTCTAGGAGTAATGGTGCAGAATGAAAATATATTAGAAGAGATGATGAGCATACTTAATAAACTTCATGTTAATGTTCCCTGCAATGAGTGAACAACAACTAATGAAGTAACACAGAAAGACATAAACTGCTTTTTGGAGGAGATCAGTTAACCAGGAAAAGGGCTCAGGCAGCAAAAGATTTGTCCCAAAATCACATCACTCCGGCTGGATGACTTGAAGGGTTTATACCTGTTTGTGAGGATTGGCATGCAAAGATTTTTTTGCTGCTTATTACTATTTAGCTTTATTTTGTTTCTCTTTCTTCTGCAGATGGTTTGGTCATGGCTATATGATACTAAAAGCTTTCTTTAGAAAGGTACCCTTTGCCATTTACGCAACCTTATAGATCGGCAGAATATTTCGGCTACAGCAGCTGATGACTTTAATGCTTGTGAGGACTTCTTCGTTACTGTCGTTCATAGTCATATAGTTGCAGCAACAATGGGCTGCCTGCAAATGAAAACTGTAAAAGATACTCCAATCCACCCAGTTTTGAAGGAAGGTATGTGGCTAGAGAGTGATGATGAAAGGCGAGATGCATTAGATGTTATTAGCAAAGAAATAGTGAAAAATTATGTAGATATATTAGCCCACAACAACTTAGACAAAGATATACAGCAGGATAAAGTCATGAGTTATGCTGTACAGTTATTGTCACAGGGATTGCTGTATTTAGAGTTTCGTGATGCTATCAAGGAAGGTAATGGCAACCGGATTATTCGTTGTTGGAGATATTTTATGCTTACATTCAAAGCAAGGCGACGTAAGAATTATAGTATTGAAGCGCTACATCTCCTAAAAAACTATCACTTTGTTCTAAATCAGAGACAGTCTATGCAGCTAGTTTGGTCCAGGTGCATAACACTCATGGTATACCTGGAAGAAATGTACCTTGTGACTTGTTCATGGAATATTTAAACCGAGTGTGCAAGGAAGCTGTATTCAATCTAGGAAGTAATAAAACACTTAAGGCTATCGAGCGTTGCAGTGAATGTGTAGGGTCCATTAATGAATTGCTAGAGGAATTGGACTGTGAGGTTTCATTGGATGAAAGATCAGGGAGACATTCAATAGCTAGCACTGAGGAAGACAAGAATTTAATAATCAAAACACTACTTTGGGCTCAAGTATTCACTTTCACTAGTGAGCGTACACATTATTGTTTCAAGGATATCAAAATTAATCTAGTTCCAAATTTAAAGCGTAATAAAAAAACAGTAGAATGGATGAAAAAACTTGTCCAGTCATTACTAAATTCTATGCCATGATTGTACTCAATTTAATACATTGATCACTATTGGAATTGTTGTTACTGTTATTATAATGTTATTACTTTTTAAAGTTAAATAAAATAAGAATAAATGAATAATGTAATGATATTTTGCCCAAACATTTCAGACAATCACATTTAGTACAACAAATGTCACAGCAATTACAGCCTTTGTTAATGTCTGAGTGCTTACAATTTTTGAATGATGCAAATAAACATTCACGACGACACAATCTCATGTTCTGAACGTAACTAACTATAGATGATTCATAATTGTCCATTAACCTTTTCGAATGAAGAAGAATGGCAAATGATTGTTGTCCATCTCTCCCAGCCCTTCCTAAACATAGGTCTCAACATTGCCTGGAACACCATAGTGGATGACCACTTTAATGTCACGACAGTCAATGCCCATCCCAAAAGCATCTGTACATATTAAAACTTTTAGGCAGGATGGAGTTGTGTAGTTAGTGACAATTTTCACTTTTACTACAGGATCAGTTCCTTTGAAATACATGTCAACAAGTCTGGACTCTACAATACTGGTGTGTGCTCCAGGTGGATGAGTAAAGAATGATCCTAATCCAACTTTAAAAAAGTATATAATTTAGAACAGTCTGTTTTCAATTTACAAAAAATGATTCTTGGTAATGCAGTTAATTTGTGCTGTAATTCCTCCAGAATGAGATTAAAAAAAATAGATACTTCGTATGTATTGTAGCCCTTGATAGCAACGGATGTGAAAAGAATATTGTCTGTATCTGGTGATCGTAAAATACAACGAGGATCTCTCATGCCTAGCAATCCTTGTACATTCTCCCTGACTTGTTTTGTGGCTGTTGCAGTTAATGCCATGATTCGCACCTTAGAAGGCATTGAACTGCATGCTTCTTTAATTCTAGAAAATGCTTCTCAAATTGTCAGACCCCTATAAAACATGCAGTGTTACATTAACACATTATAATATGGAATACAATCTTCATGCCATTTGACAACACAGTGTGTTTCATCAATAACCATTCCAACAAGAGGACTTTTATAAACTGATGTCAAAAATAGCTCTCTCCACCTATCCACTAACAACTCAGGACTCATAAAGATGATACTGTATGCTCCTTTAAGTACATTTTTTTGCTTCTTGTCATGAGTCAGAATCTAAATAACCAACTGATGCATTTCTTCTCAGTAAGCTCTGAACTTGACCATGGATTAGAGCCGTAAAAAAACTAATAACTATTAAGATGCTCTTGTTATCTGCTGTCTTCCCTAGAGACAGATCAAAAGCATGAGGCAGGCAAGTGAAGCAAATAGTTTTCTCAAAACCTGTTGGTAATACGATAAAAACATCCCTTCCTTCCAAAAAACCTCATATGGCCACACTCTGCTCTTCTTTTAATGAACTATATCCCAACAGATTGCCTGCTTCTGTAATGGCAGAATCCATCCCTAGCTTACTCCATCAGCAACCACGTTTTTGGCCACATGACTTTGCGGCTATGCCTACTATTGTCATAATGACGAGTCCACTTTTGCTGACTCAGCAAGAACAAAACTAGGTGACTCAATGTACCAGACCCTTCCCCACCGTCCACCCAAATGACCGTAGGCAGGAAGGGTCTGGCTAGCAAGACTAGTCTACAGAAGGATACTTCACAGGAAGCATTCACAATTTCCAAAAATGAAAGGGAATGTAGCTGGCATAATTCAGAAAGATAATGTCAGTTTGTGGCTGAAGGCCGACTACCGAAAGTTACTACGTACAATATAGGTGTTGATTCTAAATACTATTATATAAAGTTATTTGCTCTCTTTCCCTCCCTTCCCTTCTGTATGGTCATAAATTGTTACTTCAAAAATTTTAAAATGATGAGAAATCAATTTATCTCACATTTTTAATCATAACAACTGTCACATTTGACATAAATCACAAGTACAAACAGAAAAACACACATCACAGCACAAACTACCCACTGGTCTTTCCTCTGACAATGTATCAAAATCACTAAAAAGCACCTGTCTTCAACAAACAGTAATATTCCTGCAGTATGATGACATGCTTTCTTCTATATACTGAAAAGAAATATCGCGCTTGGAATAGTACAGTGTCACATCAGCCTTCTTGCCATCACACTTAGCTCTACCAGTCTCCTGGATATAGCTTTCTATATCAGAGGGAGGACCCCAATGAATAATTATATTACACTTAGACAATCAATACCCATCCCGAAAGCTACTGTGGTAATAACAATTTGCAAGTGGCCATTGGGATTTGTGAAGGACTTCAGTATAGATTGCTTCAAACAAGGTGTATTGCATGCCTTGAACATGTCAATCAACCTAAAACAATCGTAGTCAGGCATGCCAATTGGATGAGTAAACACTTTTCCCATGGTAGCTTTAAAATAGAGATACAAGTCACTGTAGTCTTGCATTGTTCGACAAAATATAAGTTCTATCTGTTTTTGCTCTTTACACAACTCCTGAACCAATCATTTAAAAGTTAACTCTAAGTCCCCATCTTTCTCAATGACTGAATATACAATGTTTAATTTGTCAGGTGGCTTCACAATGACACTGGCTTATGCATTTCAAGGCTACGGATAATCTCTTCTCTTGTTGACTTTGATGCTATTGCTGTCAGTGCCATTATATGTAAATCAGCTGGTAAGGACCCTCTCATATCTCCAAATTTGCCAAGCTCTTTTCAAAACTTATTACCCCTATTAAGACAGATAAATAAAACTGATGTTTTAATCATAACTAGTGTCACCCCCCTTTACTTATGAAACTAAATTGTAACTTACCATTTTTTCACGAAGTGTGCCTCATCAACAACAAAAGCAACTATCCTCTCAGTCAATGAAGGACTACGCCAAAGGTCTTTCCACTCCATATCAAAAAGAGTCTCTGGGTTGGTAAAAATAATCTGATGATTCCCTTCAATGACTACCTTTTGTGATTCACTGTCATCAGCCTTATTGTTACCGTACACATCAGTGACAATAACTCCTTTACTTCTTAATATTGCCATTTGATCGGACATCAGCACTACTAATGGGCTGATAACTATTGCCACAGAGTGGACGACTTTGTTTCTGATAGACGACTTTGTTTCTGATATCAAACAAACCAGGAAGACAGAAATAGCAAAGAGAGTTTCTAAAGCCAGTTGGCAGACAAACAAACACATAATTTCCTTCCATAAATGAAACAATTGCCTTTTCTTGCTCCTTCTTCAAAAATTCATAGCCTAACTTCCTAATGCATTTAACAAGAGCCATATACATCTTGGCTTTAGCTTCATCTCCCTCCCTCGTCCTCTTCTTTCCTCTTGTCTTTCTTCTTTCCTTAAGAGCAGCCAATTTTTCTAAAAATCACATGCCAAATGAAGGGCATGACCACACTATCACATAACATGGATCATAAACGTGGTTCGAGCAATCTGATTGGGACGCCAATTCTGTGGCATGAAGCACACATTTTAGATAGCAGTGTCTCCGGACCCTTCCTCCACAGGTAAGCGAAGGGGCAGGACAAGAATATAACTTTCATTACTTAATTTTTAATAGCTATAACAATCTGCAAAAAAATAACTGATTAACATATCATAAAAATCACTGCAGATTCCAATTGTTTTATCGGTAAATGGTACAACTCTAAGCAATCGCACTGGTCATGATAAGCAGCAAGAAATTCTCCCTAAGCAGCAAGAAATTCTCCCCTTCATGAATTTTATTCTGCCTTCCAACGAGTCTACACACCCTGTCAGAAGCACTTTGTGTACATGAGTCATCTAAGGGTCAGTTAAAGTAATATCTACTTGTTGCATTTGTTAAAATAAGTGATTTGTTTTTCTTAATGCTTTTTTAATGTTCTGATTAACTCCTTAACTTTTTAAATAAAATGGCAGAGTATTTTTGGATTAAACTTTTTGAAGTTTTAAAGCAACAGTAACACTACATGATATCTTGCAATCAAATCAATGGGCATCAAATGCAACTTCAATTTGTCTTTTGTTATGGTCTGAAAAGTTTCAGCAATTTAAGAGCGTCAGTGGTTATGAAGATTGGCAGCGCTATGCACATGAAGAAGTGCTTATGTGCAGCAACTACTAAACATAACTATTATAGATCTACTCATTAATTATAAAATATGGGGAATCCGGGATAAGCAACAAGACTCCCCTGCAAGGGGAAAGAGCAACAGACAGAGCAGCTGAGAATAACACTTAGTTTAGAGCATTTTGCCGAAGGATTCAGTCACCATTCAATGACAAGCCATACTATGATCCCACAAGCCATTGCATGTTCTCCACAGGGATTAGCAGAGAGCCTGCAGATTGGGCAGATTGAGGTCTCACTGGTTAGAGGAACCTACAACCAATGGCAAAGACAGAACCTGAACTCAGCATCTGGCGGATGGAGACCGAGGGCTGTGGAGGGAATAACACCCAACCAGTCCCTAGCATGACAAATGCTGGTCAAGAGGAGAGCATGAGACCTATCATCTTAAGGTAGAGACAGCAGAATACTGAAAACACACTGATCAATCAGATTGGATAAGGCCCTAGGAGTGATGAAATCTCAAAGTGGTCAAGAGAGGGGAGCTCATCCATGTTAGAGCCTTAGAGGCTGTGGCAAAAAGGGCAAGAGCTGAGTCCAAATAAAAAAGAGTACCTCCAAACCTGAAAGGGATAGAATAAGAGGAAAGCAAGCAGACACGAACGCCAAGAAAATAGCAGGGGTATTAAAAGAAGTCTGATGAAGACCTATCCTTCTTAACTGAACAGGGCTGACCAAGGAGAGGCAAATTCTAATTACATTAGAGAGACAGAGAGCAATGCGTTTATCAAACTCACAAATAATAGAGAGGAGGACTTCCGGAGAAGTTGAATTGAGAGCATATTACAGAACAAAGGAGGAAATATTCCGATAGAGCATCCTCAAGAAGGGAGAGGGATTCAATTGCAGATATTTTCTCTCAATGACTGGACTACAAAAGTTAAGAGGGGCAACGGGAGCACCAAAAACAACAAAGCCTTTTGAAGTGAAGAAAGAAAGATGGACCGAGGATGGCAGGGAGGCTAGTGGAGCCAAAATAAGACACAAAGCAAGTAAGGGAGAGACAAAGGGTGGGCCCAACCTCATCTATAATATCAAGTGCCTACAGCAGAGCAGTAGGTGAGCCAAGTAGGATACCATCATTAAGGTACCAGCAGAGGAGATCAGGAAATTTCCCCTTGATCCTTTCAATGAGAGGAAGAAAAAGGATAGAAAAGGCAGGAGGCCTAAGGATCACCCTGATGGACTGGGACCTAAGGATGGTGCACTCACCAAAAAGGTGTGGCTGGCCTCCATAGCAGCATTCAAGCCATTAAGAGAGAGATGGGATAAGGGACTAAATTTCCTTTATCAGAAAAAATCTATCAATGAAGTTAAAGGTATTGGAAAAAATCCAACAACTTAAAATCAGGGAGGACAAATGACTGTGAAGCTTGGTAGAATCTACAATAGATTTAGAATTCCCACCTCTACCTCATGAAGTAAAAGGATTGATGCAGCATGTGACTTAACAGAAGAAGAAAAGCATTTAGATACCAAATGACATAGAACCTTCCCACCAGACTTTTTCCTGCAGGCTAGAAGGGAGACTCCAAAATGAGAGATATCTAAAGGGGGATATGAACCAGATCCAAGGAGCATGACGAACTGAGCTAAGCTAGCTAAGGTGGATTAAGCTCTGTGGGGACACAGGTCATTTTAAGGTGGTTACAATGAAGTCTGGATGCAGAGTCAATAAGGAATGACCTGACAGACTTTAAAAGTAGCGGAAGAAAAAACAGGAGGGAAGAAAGGAGGGGAGAGAGGGTAAGGTGAAGGATTGGAAGGAGAAGCAGGAGTGGGAGAAGACATAAGATCAGGGGAGGAACGAGAAGGGGAGGGGGAGAGGAAGAGGGGGGAGGGAGGGGAGGAGCAGAAGGAAGAAACCGGACGAGGAGAGACAGGGGAGGAGAGGCAGAAGCAGGACGTTACAAGGGAGAAGTGTGGAGGAAGAGGGAGACTGGGAGGGGGGGGGCATCCTGAGGATGTTTAGCATGCAAAGTGTCAAAAAATCAATAGGGGGAGAGACTAGACCATGAGAACTGAGGGTTGAACAAACCAACCAACTTCTACCACACAACAAACACTACAAATATTACAACAAGAGGCAAATAATCAAGAGGTAGAGCAAAGAAGCTTTCGGGAGTGATCAGCAGCAGAAATTCAGAGAGAGATAATCACTCTCCTTCCATAAGGGGGCCTTCTGCTTAATGAGGGGGTGACCGACCTTGTCTACGCAGACTGTAGGGAGGTGTGAAAAAGACACATTTGGGAAGCATTAACAGATGAGACCAGGCCTACACATCACTGGGCCTAGCCACTATGGCATCAAGAGCATCAGAAACAATCATGGACAAGCTGTTGCACGCACCCTTAAGAATACGATGCAGTAGCACGACCAGAAGGCTGCAAATAGCTTCAAATGCAGGCAGCAAGGGTGATGTGCGATCAGGAAGGCCAGAACCATGGGAGAGAGCAGCAACGCCAAAAGGCTGGCTAAGACCACATCGATTAGAAGAAGGCCGACCACAATTACAGCAGACATTGTTGTCTCCTTTCCCAGGGAAGAGTCAGGGAGACCCTTCTTAATGCAAGCACAGCAACAACAACGGGCTCTCAATCTATTATATTGGCAACAGTGAGTAGTCGCCATCTTTATTGTGTCTTCCCCATTTTTTTCACAATTTAGCTGCCAAAATTAATGGACCACCTACACAATTAGGAAGAGTGAAGTTTATATACGGAATTGTGTGTGATCCACAGACTGTGGCCAACGGAATGATCACTGACTTGAATAGCAACAGAAAGGTATATGCTATACACATTTTATTAACCAATTTGACACAAATGCAACTTGTATATACATGTGCATGTAAAACTGTACACATCTGTACTGCAATGAACTTCCTTTAATCTTTTCTCTCTTCTATAGCTTGATACTCGGTACAGAAAATAAGCTGAAGCAGCTGGTATGAAAGTGGACAACATTACTATGGCTGATGTTGCATGCCCACTCATTACCAGCGAACTATTGAAAGTCTTCCAGCAACAAATGATCCATGTAAGGAACGGTTGTATCTCTGATGACCCTACAATACTGCCATTTGTGTTAACTCTGGACACCATCTTACACAACACCAACCTCTGAGAGGTACTACTAAGGTGAAATTTGTCCACTCTGTACTAGACAGAACCTTTTATACCCAAAGAGGTATAAAAATGGGTCATTGATGCTCAATTGGCCTGTTGGTTGTTGGGGTACAATAGTAGAACACTTAGGGCCCTTAGAAAAGATAGAGTAGCCCCAAGGGTTATTTATTTAGCTACTAGCATACATGTACCATTGTATTGATATTGTTCTGCTAGTATGATGTATCTGCTCAATTTGTAATATAGGCTATGTTCAACATGGCATTAGTACTGAATATCCAGACTGGTCACTGTCGGCATCAGAAACAGAATCGCTTTTTAAACTGTAAGTGAAGTGATTCGTTAGGGTATTTATTTAATGGCCTTAATATGATTGCCTGACCATAATAATTATGTGTTCCAACTCCCTTTGTCTGAAAAAATTATCCACTGAGATATGAGCCTTCACAAATGCACTTTTTGCTTCCTGCCAATTTACTTCCTATCCGTAGGTGAGCTGAATGTGATGTCACAAGAGGCATTGATGCAGATAATTCGATTCCCATAGAGGGGGAAATAATTCTTTATTCTCATGCCTTATAATGTAATAGCACTAATTTAAAGATTGGGATTATTAGCTTTCATTACTCTAAGCATGCCACTGCACAAAAAAGTCATGATACCAGACGTTGGTAAATCTTTTTGTTTGCTATTTTGAGTCTTTTTCTTGCAGTTGCATGCTTAAAATAATATAAACTAATGATGGGCCCAATCTTTAAATTAGTGCTTTTCATTACTAAGCATGAGAAAATAAGGGATTATTTCCCTCTTTAAAGGCATGGATTTATCTGCATCTAGGCCTTGTGACATCCATTGAATCTAGATGCATGCATGCATGCAATGTATGCATTTCTTACCACAGAAGTTGGACTAGATGAATAAAGAACTTGTATTTCATCCTGATGTTGCTCCTACTGTTGCTGTTATTCCATCTGTTGTAGGTACAGGCACTATGTCCCTTCCTCCTCTCAATCCTATCAATTCCTCTTCACAAAGAACTAATACTACTTCTCCTCCTGTAGTCGTTTCCCTTGTGATACTTCAACCTCTCAAGCTCCTACAAGACACTGGAAAAATACTCCTCTCCCCAGTGTCACACCTCCACAAAAGGCATGTCAATATCAAAATTATGCCCTATGTGCAGTGACGTAACTTGTGTTCCCCCTGATTCTAATGACCCCATGAAGGCTATATGGGAGCAGCTATTTGACACTATGCCACAAAGTGGAATGAAGCACCATGGTGCGTGGACTCGCCTGCTGAGATTCACCTGAGGGATAATGTGTTACTTGTACTGCCCCCATTATGATATTATATATATAAGCAACTTGACATTTGAAAAAAGGATAATAGATTTTGACAAAGTGCAACAATGCAATTAGCCAATTACTGCACTGATCCATAAAATAAATTTTAGGCGTGGTCAGCACTTAGCAGTGCAGATAAACATGGCACGTGGGTAGGAGAAAGAAGAAAAGCTGAAATTTATTTTAGCATCTGAAGCTCTATTCAAAGAAAGAGTAAGCACAAAAAATTTGCCTAGATATTTAAAAGAGACTGAGATAGTTTGGTTGCTCTTGCTTTCCCCAGTGCTGCCTGAAAATTTTTCGAAGAGGCCGAATCACAAACTTTGAGCAACTGTAACTCGCAAACAAAAAAGAGATTAGAAAATCCCCACATATTTTTTAATCTAGGTACTTTTCTCTACCTATCAATGCTAATATTGACCAAATAGAGTCAAACACGAAGATTTGGCTAGGAAAAGTGGTCTATTCTTGAAATATTCAGCTTTTGCCACCATGGATTGCTATGAAAATACAATGGAGCTAAATAAATTATCTTTTTCTCAAAGCTTAAAAAGAATTATAACTCAGGAGAGCTCAGTAAAAAAGATATTGACTAGGAATTAACAGGAATTTTCGTGACAGAATGACAGACAGAATGACAACCCAACTGCTTAGTACCCGCCTACGCAAGCGTGGCGAGTCCAATAATAGGTGCAGTAGTCCTAAAGTTTCTAGAAAAGTACAAATAAAATGCAGGGAGGAGAGAAACTAACACAAGGGAGAGTACTCTAATTATCTCTGTTTACTTTGGGTATGCAGAGACCTGGTTGCTGAAAAAAAAGCACTCAGGCTATTGAGATGGGAACTGTGAATGAAGAAGCAAGGAAGGTTCTTGCTCAACTCCATCAATCTCTAGTAGATCAGCCAACATCCATTACTGCCCTTCTTCATCAAACAGCCCGAGCAGCTACTCTAGTAATTCCTCCTGTTCAACTTTCCTTAGGACCTCCTGTAATTCCTGACACTGTAGGAGCAATAGATCAAAAGAAGCTGACTGGTAAAGGTCCTACTATCTCGCAACCAGAGTCATCTACACCAAAACTACCAAAAAGGGCACAAACTGGTGACCTGTAACGTTAAAAACGGACGGCCACAAAAATGATTCCAAGGAACAATTTTTGAAGACAAATTTTTGGACCTACTTGAAATTTAAGTTCCGCCCAGGCAGCCCTGCACCATGTGCACTTTAAAGTGCAGCTGTCAATCTAGTCTATTATGGATGCTGAAGGCTCTAGTCCTGGCTCTAATATAGCTGGTTCTACATCTAATGATCCTATATTAGACCATGCTATTTACTATGTGCTACACAATAATTCTAATGACCGATATGGGCAGGATCTCACAACAGAAAAGAAAAGAGCTGTTACAAAAAGAGTTGTTAAACTCATTGTTGAAAGAGGAGAGGTGTACTTTATGAAGAGAAATAAGAAGTTTCGTTAATGATTATTATTCCTATAATAATCTTACCACTTATTCAGATGACAGTAATTAGAAGTAAGAAAGAGCAGCAGCAAGTATTACAGTCGAACCGCACCCTACCAAAACTGGAAGAATTTTATTTGCTGAGGAAATGGGCATTAACCAAAGAAAATGTCTACCAAGATGAGTATACAATCATCCTGCCACCTGACCAGAAGTCCATTCCTACCTGTATAATTTTATTTGCGGAGTCATCAGAGAATACTGTTCACAAATTAATAATTAGTTTTAGTATTTTTGTCATAACTAACTTTTTATAATTGCAATTGTTATGAAATTTTAACAAGTTGTAAGTTATTAAATCCTGCGCGCTGCAAGCAAGTTTCATTGTATTCCTAGGATCTAGTAACGAGTTATAAGGTAAGTTATTAGTGTTACTGGCTTTCCAACTACTGTTGTTTGTAGCTTTCTCCCTAGTCTAAGTCATTTGGTTCGGCTGCCACAGCTGCATTAATAGGAATTTAACCTATTGCATTTTTTTCAATTTGTTTCTGCAAACATTACTTTAGCTGTAGTGGAAAATATTCAATGGTAAGGTTAAACAATATATTATGAAATATGTATGGTCATGTATATAAATATAGGCTTCTTCAAGGAGAAAACTTGTATTTGATGTTGCATATTGTTGCAGCCTTTGCACAACCTTGCTCTCTACTCCAAATCAGTGGTCTGATGAAAAAGCAAGAGACTATGCCATCACCCAGCTACATTTGACAGATGCTACATCCATTTGTAGTCAGTGCAGGAGAGACATCGGTAAGCTGCTGAGGAATGAAGATGTAATACCGAACTGGAAAAAGAAAAAGGTCACAATATCTCCATGCTGCATACATCAAAGTGCCAACAACTCAAAACACAACAGCAAATGGTCAGATATGGAGAGACTATTGTCAGTGGCAGATCTAAGGTGTAAATACGATACCATTCTGATCCAAACACCCTTCTGTGAGGAGCATTACCAAACAGATTATCAAATTCATAACCAAGTTCAGAAATCCTGCATAACTTGCAGTTCATCACTTAGGATAACAAAACCTAGATTTTGTCCAAATCCTAAAAGAATACAGACTATATTGACAGAAAAAACAGGATATGAGTATAAAATAAATTCAGGCGACAAAGAATGTCACAAGTGTTACACAATACACCTTCAACTGTTACAGGAAGATAAGGTCATCAGTTCAGACAGTAATCTGTCAAGTATATTTAGTACTTGCCTTAATGAGTTGCCAACTCAGGAGTTAATAAAAACAGAAGATGATGTAATATCTTACGCAATAACTAAAACAACCATAACAGTAGGGAACAACTTATTACAAAAAGAAGCAGTGCTTCTAGCTACGGCACATAATAGATTTTGCCATTATGCTCAGCAAATTGCACACCTACGTCAAATCAATATTAGTATGTCCATCAAAAATTTAGTTTCTGCCAAGTGGGTATTACTCCAGCTTAAAAGTAATTTATGCCAGCACATGCTGTTCGCTTGTCGTGTACACAAATATGGAACCCTATTATATCGACCAGGCAGACATGATAGGATTTGCAGCAGAACTACTGTGGAAATTTAAAAATTATCAAGCTACACAAAACATCGATGTTGATGAGCCTATTGATGGAGAGCAAGAAGGTATATCTAGCAAAACAGCAGGTGTAGCAAAGGTAATAGATAATTTAAACGACAGAGTACATGAAACCATTAACTCTCTACTCAAAATAGATTCTCATGATCCTTTTGATAGTTCTACTATGAACATTAATGAGGCGATTCAAAACACAGATCCAATTTTGTTTATTGCCATAATGTGTCTTACCAAATCATCTGTAGAACGCAAAGAAAAGTCAACTGTCACCAATCAATCTTCAGTATACCTATAAAGTCAAACAAATTAAGTGTTTCTTTATTTTGTGTGCTGTTTTATTCTGCACAGACAATCGTTGTTCCATGCCATTACACACATTATTAACCGACATTATTCAAAGTCAAGGTGGCTCACAGCTACTTATTAGAATCTTAAACCGAATCGGTGTATGCTCTTCTATTGATGTGCTGCAACGCTATATACGCTATCAGGTTTCGAATCCTACGAATGATAGTGACACAGAAAATGCAACAGTTGAAATAGTATCAATTGACAACATTGATTTTTTGCATAGTTATGCACATGTTTTTCATGGAACAAGTGAAAAATCATGGCATGGCACAACAATACAAATTGTTAAGCCGCTCCCATCACTTACATTAGCAATGGAGTTACAAGAAGAGGAAATGGAGACTTCTGAGTCCAGAGACAATGGAATATTACACAAAAGAAATGAGAGACTATCACCTTTTCCATCTCCTCAAAAAGACGTCACATCACCTTTGCCTAAAAAATTAAGGAGAAAAAGAACTGGTGTTGACAGTGTTCTTTCAATTTGCAATCAAAACATAACAGAGCTACTATCAAAGTATAGTGCACAAATCACACATAGATGCATTACAAAAGCTTTAGAGGATTTTGTTTGTAGTGAAGAAGGAAGCTATACTTTTGCCAATTTCACCTCAGATATCAACACATATATGTTGTACCACTACACAATACATAAAAAGATCCTGGGGATTGTTTCATTGATATTAAATCATTTCTTTCACTAATACGGCCTACTCACACAGAAGTTTCAGGAGTGAACTACATTGAAGTGTTACATGCAGTGGCAGACAGTAAGAAAACTATCATAGCTCTTTTAGATGATCTTTATGACAAATATGCAACAAGGAGACAAATGGAGCATGTAATTGTGGAAGGAGATGCTAAAATATTTGAAGTATTACAAAACTTAAAATTTGAGTATGGAAATCAGTATAGGTGGATAGTCACATACCCAGGTGACTGGCATCTACTAAAGAATTATCAATTCCCCCTAATGAAGGCATATTATGATGCTGGTTTAAAATCTTTGGCAAGAAGCTGTGGGTATCAATTAGCCTCAATACAAACTTGTGGGCAGTTCAAGAGAACTCACAAATTCATAATGGAAGCATGGGAGTCACTTTATCGCACAATGCTACATATTTTTATACGTTCCCTACCAGGAACAGTTTGCTCATCATCATCTGAATTAATCTCACTTCTGCAGAATTCAATAACACATGATTCAGACTCTACCTTACAATGCGAGGAAATATTGCAGAAAGCACTTAGTACCACAGCTGCAGTAAGAGCAACTTTTTTTGATGAATTCAAAAAATTTGTACAGAGAAAAGGTAGAGAAGATGACACTTGGAAATTTTGGATTCAGTTTGTTTTTACCGATGCATTGGCATACATTGGTCTTTACTTGGCAATCAGAAGTGGTAATTGGTCTTTACGCATTGCTTGTGTGAAAAACATGGCAGCAATATTTACAGCATTCGATCACCAAAACTACCAAAAATTAATTACTCAAAATTTGTGTGACATAAAAGACATGCCTCCAACATTGCTTACTTTCTTTAATCAAGGTGCCTTTGTGGTAAATATACAAGGGCGGCAATGGCATTCAGTTGGAATTGATGAGGCTCATGAAATGCTAATCAACAAGTCTTGTAAAACAGCTATTGTAAAGACAAATCCAGATTACATAAGTCGCATTGCAAGATACTTACCACACAGAGCTCGAATTCTAGACAATTTCCAGCACCAAGTTCTACCTAAGGAAAAAGAAAAAAGAAAGTTACTTTCATTATTGTCAAAGAAACCAGAGGATATCAAAATGCAGACAAATATAGAGCAACAAGTGAAGTGTCTGGCAGACTATTCCTTATTAGATCATGCAGAAGGTAGAACTCAACTGATAAATCCTTTCACTAATCAAATTCCAAGCCAAGAACAAAACAATGACTTAATGAATTTTCGAGAGATTGGCCAGAAGAAATTTCTTCAGAGGATTTCTGCTATAATTTTGAAAGATCCTAGTGTAACTGCTCCTAACAGAAGAAATAATTTAAAAACATTTTCTGATAAAAAGAAGAAAAGTCGGCAAATGTCACAGTTAGAAAAGGACAGGAAACTTATTGTTTTAGCAATGAGGAAAAAAATGACTTTTTCAAGAAGGACTGGGCAACCAATTCAAAATTTAGAGGAACAGCTGATCGAACTACCCCTAGCAATTTGTGATAACAGTGGCAATCTTAATAAAGGGCAGAAGAGTTAGGTTACTAAGCATTACGAGAATCGTTATAATGCTGCTAACCCACCCATGTTTGGTACCAGTATGCCTTGGGCTCCTGAAGCTACATAACTGAGGGTATGTTTTTAATTAATACAACACCACTTAATACACATAAGACACTTTGTCATACGTGAATTTAAGCATGGCTGCCAAAAAGTGCATGTAATTTTTGACAACCCAGGAGCTTTAGGTCAATCTCCTACGTTTTTTGAGCAAAAAAGGCAAGATTCTGAACAATCTGAATGCACCAACCATTACTGTGATGACATGGTAGGAGATAAAAAAATCAACCCCAAAAAATGGAGAGAAGATTCCATTCAGTGCTGTAATTGCAAGATGCAATTGGTTATTTTTTTGGCTAACTACTTCCTAAACAACATCAATGTACACTTAAATTCTGGTCAAACACTATATGTAGCTGGATGTTTTGAAAATGACATTTCTAGAACAGCATGGTATAAGAAGCATTCCTTTGAAGCACAGCCAGATCCAGAATACAGTTCAAATGCAGAAGAAACTGACTCCAGAATATGGTTGCATGTGAATAAAATAGACAAGAATCGTGTCCTAGTAATATCCCCTGACACAGATGTCTACCACATTGGGCTACCTTTGAATTGCACAAAGAGAAAGGAAGTAAATGTTTAACTAAGTGCTGTAAACTCAAGGGAATTAAAAATTATATACCTAAGTAAGTTTATCAGTGTTCTTGTAAATGACCCAGACCTGTCAGGCATAGACACTGAAAGAATACCACTAATTATGCAAACCATATATATCACAACAGGTTGCGATTATATATCTTTTTTTCAGCCAGATAGGAAAATCTACTTTCTTAAAGTATTTTTATCAGTATAGCAATTTTGTTACAGCAGGTGACAATGCCAAAACACCTGGTACATTAGCAGACACAGCTCAAAGCAATGAAGACCTTGGCTACCTATCATTTCTACATCTTGTAGGAACCATCTATTTCAAAAAACATGCATCTTGCTTTGAAGAAACATCACCTGAAACCCACTTTAACTCAATTTATTCACATACTCGAGATGCTAAATCTAATCATTTCGAATGGCTAAAAGATATCAGAACAACCATATGGGATAGAGTAACCTTTGAGAACGAAATGATACCAACAAATGAGGCACTCCTTTCTCATTGGAAATGAACATGCTGGATATCAAATATGTGGAAGCAAGCAGATCATAATGTTATTACCTTGGATGATATGATTGGAAATGGATGGTTACAAGATGGAGATAATATAAAAATTCAACGGGACAGTGATGATAACAGACAACAATTTAAACACAGAGTTGCAAGGTTATTGCAAGGTTGTTCCTGCAAAAAAGGTTGTAAAACTTCAAGATGTAGCTGCAAAAAAAAGGAGAAAGGTGCAATGAAGGATGTGAGTGTAAAACAGTGAAAATATGAACACAAATGATTCAGATATGGTGGATGATGATGAATTTGAGGAGATATTTGGGAGCGATAATGAAGTATACGAAGACTTAATTGAAGAAGAAGTAATGGAAATAAATGATAATGATGATGATGATTCATTTTTTAACTATTACAATATAAATTTTACTAATACAGTAGTCAGTAAGCATTCTGATTGACCACAACTGCTATCAATACCAAATTTTACAACAAAGGTGGAACAACAAAGGGCTAAAGTATACCAAAGAAATAAGTTATTTTGCCAAAAAAATATAAAGTTACAACAGAATGTTTGAGTATGGTTATAGGTTCAAACTTAGGAAAAGTGCACATAGAAGTTTAGCATGTACGTGTACTTAGGAAAAGTGCACATAGAAGTTTAGCATGTACGTGTAATTAATAAAAACGCTCACCTACACCTTCTCTGGTTATTGCTTCGAGGCCTAAACGCATTAAGAAAATGCTATGGCCTTTTATCCACAAGAATGAAGTAAAGCAAACCAGCTTAGAAAATTAGCCAAATATCCGCCATTATGACATCACTTGGAAAATAAAAGTCACATGAGCTGTCATCTGGTGGGACTGTATACCTTCTCATGGTGTAAAGGCTTCACAAAACTTTTTTCAAGTCGATTTCTATGGTTATTTGATTACTTTAACCATTTTTATGCATGTTGTGAGAAGGAATTAGTCTAATTCAAAGTATTTACAACTTTCTGTCTACATGAGCCAAAATGGAGGAATGGCACATTCAGAAAACCTGTCTCGTATTTCAAAGATGGTAAGTGGGACAATTAATTTTTAACATTGAAACTTGAGTAAAGTGGTATGCAAGTGCTTTGAATGCTGTAATTTAGTTGAATCTTTTTTAGGCTG